AAGTACCTTGGCCTAAAAGAAAATCTTACCAGAGACATGAAATTCTTACTTTTTCATTTTGCTGATAATTTCAACTTTGAAAAAGGAATATTATTTTCTATCATGGAAGAACTTTCTTAGCACTAGGTATTATTTTGCTTTTCAGAATTCCAAGTGATATTCTTTTTGTTCGAAAGCATTTCTAGTACTCCAATTTTATACTGGATGTCTTAAAGATTCTCAATATTCAACGGTAATCCCAGATATAAGAGAAAAAATTACATGCAGAGCCTATGCATAACTGCATAAGAGTAATGGATATATCAACAACTGATCACCATGTTTATCCAGTAAAGTGTCTATATAACTGAGTGAAAATGCATCTAATATATAATTACATACTATTCCGTAAGGAAGAAATCAGCTGCAAATTTTGAGGCTTCCGTACGGATTGACTGATTATTGCAACATTAGAATAACGCTGAATCAAAACGAAATTAAAATTTCAAAGAGGCATTTTGCAGCGTGTAATTCGGCCTATTGCATCAAAATTTGTAGAAAAACAAACTAAAAACTTCAATTCTGGGTCTCTGAGGCCCTAAATTCATGCCGTAAAAAACAAACAGCTATAAATTAGTCAAGTAACCGGTGGAGAGAAAGACTAACATTATCGTGATCCAGGTGGCGAAGAAGTTTGATTTCACGAAGGGTCCGCTTTGCGTCCATGTAATTATCGAAAGCATTCGCAATTTTCTTAATTGCTACCATCTCATTAGTCTCCGAGTTCAAAACCGAGCTTCAATATGCAAACAAATAGTATAATCGGTCAGAAATAATCAAAAGGCGATCAGAAACTAGAATTAATTAAAATCCAAAATTACTTACCAAACGATTCCGTAAGCTCCACGGCCAATAGGCATGATCGGATGCCGATACTTGGTGGTGATCTCAAATAAGTTTCCAAAAATATTATACTGTATAAATTGCCCTCCGTGGGTTGCAACCGCCGGAAAATCTTGGTACTGGTCAGCCATGTATAATGACAATTTTCTACGTATTTATTTGAATACTATAACTGTAACAAACACTGTATAATTATATCAGCTTTTATTAACACGAGTTTGAATTCGTATATATACACCAAAATTGAGGGCGCTGCGAGGCAAGAGGGAGGAAGGTAAGGAGAAGAAGCGCGTATTCTGGATAATTTTGACCACATTTCAGCAGCCTCTGATCTACGGTTGGATTTTTATCTTCAACAAGGTCAACGGTCAGTGCCAATCTCTTAAATTTCTATTTCTTATCCTTTCAACATCTTTGAACGCGCTAAACCTTTTTTCTTGTCTTCGAGCCAATTTTACACGTTGTTATCTTCCTATGCTTTTCCTTTTCCGCTCACAAAATGCGGAGAAGAACTTTTTTTTTTAACGAGGTGTCCCAACTTGCGTCAGACTATATCCTCATCCCTAAACCTCCGGCCCCCTCAGCTGCTCAGGGAGGTAAATCGCAGGTTGTGCTCTTATTGGCTCTCAGGTTCCCACATGGCTTTTACTCCTTCCCCAAAGGGAGCCTCTTCCATGGTTATTACAACACCAAGCTGCTCCAACCCTTCCTCATGGTTATTACATCACTCAACTGCTCCAACCAGGAATCGAACTCCCCACGCTTGGTTCCAGAGCCCTCCAATGTGATTGTTCCGCCAATTTGGATGTGCCCTGGGGGGCAAATGCGGAGAAGACTTGTTCAAATCTAAGGTTGGTCATGAGCACAACTTTTTTACTATGGTTTCGATACGTTACGTAATCGAGAAATCTCTACTAATGCAAATGCTATTCAAGAACAATTAGTCGATCTGACTGAAGAGGAAAGAAACGAATTTTTTAACTATTGAAATCGAAATCAAACAATTTTGGACTAGTTTGATTCGATAGATTACACGACATAGAATAAGATAATTACGATAATTTTATTTTCCAATGAAACTCGAACTTAGTTCAATGACTTGATGATATTTTATTTTTACTACTTAAAATAGACATCGTCCTTAATTATGATCATTTATACAAGTAATGGGCTTAGAATCTTTGAAAGTAGAAAAAGAAATTAGAGCCTTCTTTATGAAACTAAACCATTTAATACATTTGACCAATAATGAATTGATGTCAAAGTCAATCATTGTTCTATGAATAAACTCTCCAAGAGTCTTCTCTTGTAGTTTGGTTCTATGGTCAATGGACTTTCATACTATTCATTTTGCTATAAATAATATGTAAAATACTTTCAAAAATAAGAAATATTAATCAGACATTTACAAATTAAAATAAAAAAAAATATGATTTACATCATTAATTTAATTGAAATTTACAGAAGATGGTTATGAATTCCTTTTTATTGCGAATTCATGGTCACTTGGAAATAATAATATTTTAATTTAGAGTACAAAAGACTAGAGATGTCAAAAACTTATAACTCCCGAGTATGACATCAATTAATTAATATATGTATTTCTTCCTTTTGATGTTTGAAATTCAAATTGACCCCAACATTTTTAAAAAGATTTAATTTTAGCCCCATTTGGACTATACTTCTAACAAAATTATATAATACATTTGACCAATAATGCACTTGTAACGCTTCGAATTCTAATAATCCGAAACGTTATGAAACATGAATATACCAAAGGGCTTGAAATAAATAGTTTTAATATAACGAGAAATTCTGTAAAAAAATTGAATAACATTTAATCAAAAGATAAATTTAAATATGCGGAACGTTTGAAAACATACAATTCATCAAACATTATTAGAACAATTAGAACTAATTGAAATTTTTAATGTACTCACAATTGAGTAAAAAAAATAACCCATTATTATTAAAATTCTAGTGTTTCTGAAAGTTGAAGTACTTCATGACGAGGATCCGTTGGTCCAATAGCAAATCCATCCACCGCCGTCCAGCATACTAAGTCTTACCTAAAAATTGTAAATAAAGGGGATGAGTATAACGAATTATACTCAATTAGATACTTGCTACTCCACATTCAAGTCAAATATGAAATTACGAATAAATTTTCTTACCAATATACAATGAAAATTATCACACCATGACAAATGATAATTCTA